CCATAGGGTGGCCGTAACACACCATCCGGCCACGGTTCCTTCAGGCTCTCCTCCTCGTGACTTAAATTAACCCTCGACCGCTTTCTAGTCCTCTTTCAACTGGCGTCACTCGTTATTTCCCGGCGCTGTACGCTCTCTCTCTCCCCCGTTCGTTTTGTTGGGGTCGATTTCAACGACCCGCGTGAAATTACACGGTCGCTGTAATGGAAAACATTGGAACTGTTGTGTGAACGGCCATTCAGACCGTTCTCGGAACTTTTCTATGATTCTGGCGAATGTATTTTCGGGGTGTGCTTGGAATCCTTGCGATCGAAGATTGCCGAGGCGACTTTCCGGGATAACCTTAAGCGCCAAGATTGAATTGAATTCGTGGAATGTGCGGGGAGAGCGAATTTTTTAGGTGGTCATTTTTCGGGATTTTTGGGAAATGCGGTGAGAAAATTTGTTGTTTATGCGTGGAGATTGAATTCTTGGAATGTGCAGGGCGTGTGGGAATTTTTTATTAGGTAATTTTTAGGGAAACAGAGCCAGAAATTTGTAATCTAAGCGCGAAGATTGGATGATTTTCCGTGTGTGAATTGAATTCTTGGAATGCGCGGGGTGTGTGTATTTTCATTCGCTAATTTTCTGGGACTCGGGCTATTTTTGGGAAATGAAGCGATCTTGGAATTCTTGCGATGGAAGTTTCGACAGAAAATTAGTTACCTAAGCGTGAAGATTGAACGATATACCAAAGTCTGAATCAAATTCACGGAATGTACAGGCCGAAGTAATTGAGTAATACAATTTTTCATTCAGTACACGCGAAATCTCCACGATCGGACTGACGATTAGCGAAAACAGTGGAACAGGGAAAGTGTGTTTACATAGATCGATTCCGATAGAGAGGCACGTCTGACCTGGAAAACCTTTCGACGTTTCTAATCCACGCGCAAACTCTTCAGAAATTTCATTGAACGTGTACAGGTATGGAAACCGTGTCAGTTAATCAGAGCTCGACGGTGAAGCGTCGTCGTCACGCAAATCGGATCTCTCTCTCTCTCTCTCCCTACACCTTCCTCCGTTTCGAGTGTTACAATCCCGGCAACAAAGTTGTGCCGCGAAGAAAGGAAAAGCTCAATGGCGGTCCCGATCGCGGTGGTGAAACTCCATTACCGTATCAAAAGGAGCTGCGCGATATCGCGAAACTCTCTCCTTCGCTCTATTCTCCCGTCACTTGTCGTCGCACTTTCCTTTTCCCTTTTCTTCCGTTCTACCGAGTCCTAATTCCACAGGAAAGAAACTTCTCTCGGAAGCTGTTCGACGCAGTCGTCTGTTTGTATCGTGGAAAACGGGGAAAGCGGACCGTGTACCACGGGACGAACGCGTGAAACGGCTGTTCACCGTCGAGAAACGACCAGACAAGCCGTAAATTTTCGAAAGAAGGGTGCGAAAGGGGCGGTGACGCGTGGAAACGATTTTCAAGGTGTACAAGTTAAGCTCGGTGGACCGGAGGGTTGTGTGTCGTTGTTCACGGACGAATGTCGCCGTAGTTGTAATTGCAACGAGGCGTAATTAGTTTTGGAAATTTAATTATTTCGGGGAACGCGATAAACGCCGCGGGCAGGGAAGCCTTTCGACGAAGAATTATCGGAGGACTTTGCCACCGTAGCAGCCGTTAATCCCGCTTGGAGCAACCTCGAGCAAAACCAATGGAAAATCGTCGGGAGTTTGGAAACGAGGAGGCCGCCGCTATCCTTCGCGCGAGTCTCGTCGGCTTTGCTGCTTCGAACGTCGTAATCCGTCGACAACCGTCACCCGTTGCTTCGTTAATCAACCTGGAACGCCTTGGGACACGACTAATTCGCGAGAGACAGCGCGCGTGTAGCGTGTTTTACGGAGGATCGACTGTCGTGAAAAATCGAGGGAATACTTGATTAGCCGGTTTGAATAATAGAGGATTATTCCTACGGTTTAGGAACGTTTACCTTAAACGTTGCATTATTGCTTGAATTTTTTACACGCTTTTAACCTCCGCGGAAGACGTAGGAAGCGAATCAATTTTTTCCCTGTGAAACATTCATGCAGCCGTTTGAATCGAGGATAGGAAATTTTGTCGTTTTTCCATTCGAGAGAGGATTTAAACGAAGGAAAGGAAAGGTCAAAGACCGCGATATTTAATCAGTTTCTTCCTGTGAAAAATTAATAGATCGATTTAAATCTGAAGAAGGCAATTTTTCCATCTCGAGAGAGGATTTAAACGAAGGGAAGAAAAGGTCAAAGACCGCGATATTTAATGAATTTCTTCTTGTGAAAAATTAATAGATCGATTTAAATCTGGACAAGGAAATCTTAATTTTTCAAGACTCGAAGACTGTGATTCTTCGAGAAGGCAATTTTTCCATGTCGAGAACTAACAGGGAACAAAAGTGAAATATCTTCTCCTGAAAGATTACAAACGAGGAAAACATTTTTTTTTCGATTTCGAGGGACCGACAATGAGCTGCCACATCGAGTAAGGAAAGAGAGAGCGGAAGACCGCGATGTTTAAAATCCCCCGAATTCCGGAGGTCCAGGGACAGTTGGAGATCTCCCTAATCAAGCGTTCGCGGACAAAAGATCTCATCGATCGTCGGAGGGACGCGTGTTCCCGGTCGACGCGACGCCGAAACCGTGGAGAAACAAAAGGAGACAGCGCGACGATGCCCAGGTTCGCGATGAACTCTCAAAGATTCATGCACGTTTCGTCAGCGGGGAGAGTTGAGTTGGAAGCTGCGGGGTCCAGACAAAGCTCCGGAGGGAGAGACACAGCTTTTGTGAAGATCCGTTTGAAAAGACGTCGGTTGACTGGGAGAGTGAACCCAACGAACAGCAGCACCCTCCTCTGCTCTCCCGATAAATTTTTCAGCCTGTCGTCCGCATTCGTTCTTAGAATTCGCGCGTAGATCCGACCGCGACTGGCCATTAATTTCTGAAATCGTCGAGCCGCGCACGCGTCCCTTTAAAAAAGAAGGGAAAACACGCGTGTGCAACCCCTTGAAAGCGATTCTTCAGCGTGAAAAGAATGAAGAAGGCGTGTTTCCGCGAAAAGGAAACGGGGTTCGAATGGGGTTAAATCGTGACAGGGGGTAGAGAAAGTTTCTTCCGAGTTAAGTGTGTGGTCGAAGCGTTTAGCCGCGAGTACGGTCGACGCATGAATATCTAAAAACGCAATCGACGCCGTTTACATAATGGCGGGAGCGGACAAAAAGCTGGGAACCGGCGTGTTGCCGGTTGGATGTAATAGGCAGGTTCGGAAAGGGTTTGATGAATATAGAGGAAGGGACGGAGGCTGTGTTTCGACGTCTAAATTAATAGAATTGGATCGTTGTAGGTACATATTTAATCGTATAACGGTATTGTTGCGCCCGATACACCGATTGTTTTCGTTCTGTTCGCGGGATCAATATTGGTCGAAGGGTGTTTTCCAATAAAACGAGGCTTGTAACGCGAGTGCTGTGCAAAGCGTGTCGTGTACGCGAATTATATTTGAGCGGCGGTATGAATGTACATAGGGAAGAAGAAAAAAAAAAAAGGAGACTGGGGAATAATAGGACGAAATATTGCGAGACTCGAATGAATCATGCGATCTATCGCAACAGGGAGGTGTAACTATTTCTGTTCTCGATTTAATCAAATTCGTTATGCATCGCTCTGCGTATAATTTACAAGCTTCGCGACGCGGTAGACGCAGAGAAGAAGCGTTCGAAGTTACTTAATCGCCGTGTCGTTGGAAAAACGACTTTGCAGAAGAAAAGCAGAAGTCCCGTTTGCCAGGCTAATAACGGTGCCTTCTTCTGCTCGTGTTCGATCATCTCGCGTCTCTCGATGCAACGCCACACGGATAGAGCTAGAGAATACGCGAGTGTGTTCAAGGAAATATGTACAGCGGTGACGCATGAGAAACTTTTGTAACCGCTCTCAACTCGAGATTTGCATTCACCTCGTTGCGCACCGTTGATCGCCACCGATCCACGTATGTTTACAATCGCGAATTTTTTTCCCATGTGCGCACTCTGGCCGCCGCGCGGCAATTAACGCGAGTGCGCGCGAGAAATTGTTTCATTGACGGTAAAAATGTGGGAAAGTTGCGAGCACCTTCGACAAACGTCCTTGAACGCTGCGATCGAGGATTTCGTGATTCTGCGGGGAAATAAAAGGCCGAGTGGCGTAGCAATTGAGTTTTGCTTTTTATTCTAATTTGGGAAGGTAACCGGTTCCTCTCCTTCTCGTTCTCTTTTTTTTTTCCAGTCCGAAGGTAGCGGAGTCACCTGGAGAGAGTGAACCCAATGTACCCTGAAAATTCTGACGTTCTCGACCTTGTTTTCCGTACTCTTTTACAGGCATTCAGAGAAACTTTTCACCTGTCGATTCTTGGTCACAGCATCACTCTTCCCTCGCGTGCATTCTCGTTCGGAAGAAGTGTCACGCAAGATCTAGCTATCACTCGGCCAAAACGCTCTTATCTCACGTCCCACTTAACTTCGAAAAGTATTTTAACCCTTTGCAATCGAGTGGCGGCTGAGAAGCGACGTTAAATAATCGTCACTTGGTGAATAATTAACGAAGACAGTAGAACAGATCTACGGGCCTCCGTAAATTTCTTCGCCACAGTAGAACGGAGAATACGTCGAATATTTAGATAAAATCGTATACTCTATTTCTACGTTAGTTTGCAAAAGGTTTCAAACATCCGATTTGCAACCTTTCCCACAGCAAAATCACCTCCGAGTGCGAAGGGTTAACGTTGACCAAAGTGACGATTAGAATTTCGAACGATGGAACTTCGATCGACGAGAGAATACACAGTGGCCTCGGTGCATTTCCCCTGTATTTCTCTTCGTCCTCGTGGTCCGTGGGAAAAATGATTCTCCCAGAGGGAGGGAGAGTAGGGTAGCAAGAAAAGCAGCGGTCGTAAGCGCCTTAACCCGTCGACAAGAAAGAAGTTTGTAACGAAGCCCATTTTTCTCTTTCTGTTTCAGCAATCATGGCGCACTTCTTCTTCCTCGCTGCGTTCTTCTGGCTGAACACGATGTGCTTCAACATCTGGTGGACGTTCAGGTGAGTCTTTGCTTCACTTTTGTCTGATCATCCGTTGAACACCCTGGCCAGAAGAAGAAGAGAGGGGGGAGGGGGGATTGGATCTGCGGCGAAAGATTTCGCCACGTGTGTACTCTTCCGTGCGACCGCCCTCGAATCGAATCTAGCAACGATTGTGTGTGCCTCGACTAAGATTTATTCGATCGTACCAGCTTTTCCGTTTCCTTTTTTTTTTTTTCTTTAATTTAATTTCCTTCGGGTTGAAAGGCTTGTCGTTTTGTGCAAGGATGGATCGGAAAGGGCGCAGCAATCAGACGTTGGAAAGATAAATCGTGCAGAATTGATATTTTTCGTCGTGTCCGATGTGCAATTTTCCATCTACTATCTTTGCACCCGAAAAAGATAAATAAATCTACGAAAAAAACACTTGTAACGTTGAAAGAAAGCGTCGCGCGACGAACATTCGTCAACGGCGGTTGCAATTAAAACGTCCGTTTCGTGCGGACGCGTGTTTCACGGGGTGAAAAAATTATGAAAATTCGCCAGGTGTAATTGCCAGGGAATTTTTAGTAGCGAGACGAGGCGTTGGTGTCCCGAAGCGAGAAGAGAGAGAGAGAGGTGGTGGTTTGTGTGTACGTCGTTAATTAACACACCGGGTGGGTGCGGGTTATCGACCCGGCTGGCCGAGTTTCGCGTCGCGTCGCGTCTTCGATCGGAAGGCCACTACTCGTTACCTCGGCAATTACGCAATTGCCGCGCAATTACGCAAGCAACGTGGCTGCCTGGCAATTAATTCATCGCGTCCCCGCGAGCAAATCGCGTGCAAAGATACCGAACGATAACGGTCGATTGCGAAACTATACATACATACGTCTCTGCACTGGTTCTACGCGTGAAAAGAAGGGAAAACACAGTTTCTGGACCCGTTACCTTTTTCTTTCCCTCTGTTTCGCGGCTGTAATAGGTTCTGTTTGAGTATAAATCGATCTTGGGAATTACGGCTGCGTGTGAAATTTCGCCAGGATCGTTCGATAATCCCGTAAACTCCGTATCCTTTAATAGGCACGCCTCTCCCCTCGAAGTTGCGTATGAGAAGCAACGTCTACCGCACGGTGTATTATGTTAATTCATTGTTGCGGAGTAATAACGGTTGAACAGAGTCACCGTTTACACACGCTGAAGAGATCATCGTTTACCTTTATCGGTGTGCGTGTGTGTACGTAACACCTGGGAGAAATCGCTTCTGGCGGTGTGTTCTCGCGGTGTTCTCGCGTGAACGCGATCGATCGATGCGAGGCAGCGGCAGACGGTGATCGTTAGTGGCCGGATCACGTTTGAGTCGAAGGATCGAAAGGGGAAGAAGCAGAACGCCGCTCACGGTGAGAGATGGGATCAAGATCACTCGGTCGACTGGTTAATGCGATGCAACACGGTCGCCATAACGGGCCCTCTCCTCTCTTCCTCGTCTCCGTACGATTTCTTCTCACCTACGATCCCTCGATCGGCTCGTTTCTCATCTTTTTTCTTTCTCGCTAGATCGTCTTCTTTCGACGTCTTGCTCTTCCTCCGGATTTCCGCCGACTTCTCTGTCATTTTTCTCTCGTTCCGCGTGTCCTTTGAATAGCAGACATCGCGCCCAGTTTGATTAATATGCGAGATTTAACAGGCTGAAAATTTTCAACACGAAACTCTGAGTTTGTTCCGCATCTGTAACAGCATCCGCTGCAATATTCGCGATCTCCTCGAAACTCGCCACTCGAGTTCCTCCCGGACCAATTCACCGCGCACTTTTCGCCTCCGGTAACCGTTCATCACCTCTCTGACCTCCTAATACCCGATTAAACCGACTTCCTACTCGCCTCTCCTCCTATTTATCTCCGTTCTCTACCTGCACACCCGGCGCTCCACCCAACGAAATGGCGAAAAAGCGAAAAATGTGCGTCCGCACCGATGACCCTGAGTTTTTCCTCTCTCTATGCCTACGCGGGTCTCTGCTCGCACGCTTTTATCGGCAATTTTCGCGCGCTCCGTGAAACACACGGCCGAAAACGTGTCAGCGACACGTGCGCGCGCGCGTTGTATCCACTTGTTGAGGTGTCACCGACACGTTGCGTTCCGCTAGCTGGCCAAACTCGGTGATTTTCCAGCTGGAAAATTAGCCCGGTGTCATTTGCGGCTGTGCAACGCCGTTTCCCCTCTATGCACCCTCGCGAATAAACCGTTTTTAAACCTCTACGCTGCCACGACCATTCCTCCCGCGACTGTTGTTAACTTCCCTCGGAACACGTTCGAAAGGAGCAGTTTTGACAGCAGTCAGTGACGCAACTAGTAATAACTTATTGGATTTAATTAGCAGCGTTATGAGAGCCTTGATAATTGGACGCGTTGAGCAACGCGACAGTAGAGAAGCATGACTCTGGAAGACGATTGCGTCACTGCAGAAAGCATGTACTCCGAGTGGTATCGATTATCGATCGAATTTCTTTGTTTCTGCCGTGCTACTGTAATTAATTGAGTGGCTACATTCGTTGGTAATTATGGAGAGTTGAGATGGACTGAACTGACGGGTAGAAACATAATTTCCTACGTATTAACGCAACATAGCTTACGCACCAAACCTTGAAAATTGACACGTCGAGAATTTTCCGAAGCTCCGCGAAATCTCCATATCAACGAAGCTAATATTAAGGCAAGAATTCTCTCCACTCGATTCTAAGAGAAGTCGCTTTAATTTCATCCAAGTGAAAAACTACTACGATTCGTTCTTCGATGTGAGAATAGCAGATCGTAAGAGCTGAACCGACAACATTTACGCATCAAACCTTAAAAATCTACGTATCCAGACTTTTCCTCGTCTCCGTAAAATCTCGCCGAAGCCAAGCGAAGAATTCACCCGCCTCGACTCCAAGAAAAGTTCCTTCAATTTCCTCAGAAATTCATTTCATCCCTGCCGAGAAAAAAAAAACCGATATCCACTCGATGATAGCAAAATCGTCGGGCCAATTAGCAGTAGCCACTAACGTTCAGCGTGAACGAGCAGTGGATTCGATCGCGTCACGCTTAATTGCTAGCCTCGGTAGCCAGTCTAGAGGATCTGAACGAGTGGCTTCTCGGTTCTTACACCGGAGGTGAGCTCCTCGAACTTGCTCTATCCAGCTGGAAGCGCGTGCGCCCATTTTCTGAGAAATTCTTCAATTACCTAACATCTAGCAGCTTCCCACGGTCAGTGGAGTCGTTTGAGCACAGACACAACCGCACACGGATACTTCATCTCTCTGTACGAGACGAGAGCTGACCTCGTCGCTTGGCAATTCCTGGCTGACGTTGTGCTTGAAGTTCCTCTCGACGCCGCGTGCACTCAGCGGGAGCGTTTCTTCTCTAAACGAATTTGCATTCTAGAAGCCGGCTGCTGGTTGCTGCTTGCTTGCTCGGGTCGCGGTAAGGCTCGTCGAAAGATTTCCCTGCTGGAACCGACGATGCTCGAGAAGTGTGTCCTTTTATGCTTGTTCGCGAGCTCCTCCCGCGGCGCGGAGCCGCCTGGAGAAAGCTGAAGGGCGAACGTTTCCGTTTTTTCCCCCGACCTCTAGAGTACCGGCGAAATTTTCGCGGTGAAATATTTCTTCGTAGTGTCTTCCTTCTGCTTCCCGTCGAAGCTTCGCGAAATCGGCCAGAGCGAGAAAGAAACGGAGGAGAAATTGGAACGGATTGCACCGAAACGGTTTAATCGTCAAGATTCACTATAGAAGCTTAATGGACACGGGTGTCTCCGTGTGTTGGAGGGAGAAAAAGCAAGGATCCGCGGGACACAGAGCTCGATCGGTCATTGTCAGCGGCGAAGAAGCGTCTCTAATCTCGATGGCCGTACGCGAAACAATGGTCAGAGAGGAGAACAAAGGCGTGGAATGTGTCGTCTGAGGATCGTGGTCAAGTGTATTGGCCTGCGAGAGTGTGTGCACGCGTGTACGTGTCGGTCGTTAGGGTCTCCACTGTTCTCGAAGAGTGGCTCATTAACTTCGTTTATCTCGTCCCCGATAGCTGCATCGGGGAGTTGGTTCTTCTTTAGCCGAGCAAGATCGTGCCTCTCTCCCCCTGTTAATAGCGTCGTCGAAAGTGCCATTAGGTCTCCTCTGACTATGCGAAATCCGAAATTTACACCCCGAACACACTGTTTTACCAGCTCTGTCGCTCGATTCCCGGTCAGAGGATTTCGCGCGGAATCTTCAGAGCAGGCTGATTAGACGCTGGATTAATTTAACGACTGCAGAATCGATGTCTCTGTTGGATATCAAGGTGATAGGGTAGGTTAGATAGGGAACGTCTTAAGCCTTGATATATTCCCGTTGCTGTAAATCCTGAGATGTGGGTAATCCTAAGCCAGGCATAACCTAGACCTCGTGTAACCGTCAGCTACTTTACACTTCTGCATACTTTAACGTACTTTACTCTGAAGCAAGTTGGGCGTGGAAGTACACTTTTGTGGAAAATAAGGGGCTCGATCATGGAAGGATTGGATCAGGTGAAAATGTGGACGCACGGTGAGCCGAATGAAAGGTCTAGCTCGTGTCGAGCGAAGCGTAACCAGGAGCAGATGGTAAATTGATAGAGTGTAGTAGCGGAGAATCTGTAATCGTCCGTTGCCAAGATTCGTTTCATAACGAGAAAGTTTACTTACGTCTGTCGTGTAACAGCGTCGCCCAGGGCGACGTACGCCCGCGCAAACTTGGCAAGAATAGCGGTGAAAAAGGAGGAAAAGGAGAGGAGAAAGAAAAAAAGGGGGACGGTTTGAGAGAGAGACGGCCGAAAGGGGACGTGATCAAGAACACACCGGACCGGTCTGTCGCGCGGCGTGCATCCCAACGAAGCTTGATTAAGGTCCCTTCTGTTCTCGAACACAGTAGCTCATTAATTCCGTTATCTCATTTTCTGCAGTCACCGGATCTCTTGACCAGCGGATCGAATCAATTGCCCTGGTATTCTACGTGAGGCGTTGGGGCGTCGAAAAATGGGTGGAAAAACGCGAG